CTGCTCGAGATGCAAGGCTGTCAGATATTGGTATATTCTATCCCTTAGCAGCTGCAATGCATCTTTATTGCTACACTTCATTTTTGTTGAATGGTTTATCATTCGGGAAAGTAAAGTAAAATATGGAATCAAATGCTTGATAGCAGCATTCTCGTCTATTATCACTCCGCAAACATAGACATCCCTCCCCTATGCGTTTATCTTTCTTAAATGAATTTTGGGTTCATTTATATCATGAAGTATAGTCTTTACATCCCTAGCAACGGGCTGATATACTTATTATTGATTTGGTTGTTGGAAATTTTTCTGACTTTTATTTTGTTCTGCATGATATTTCTTAAAAACTGTTGAATTTATGCAGTTCTGGGAAGTGCCAGATTATTCATTGGAGGCAAGTTCATAAAGAAGAATGCCTGCAGTTGGAGAGCTCAAGCTCAAGCTCATTTCCTAGTGTTGCCTCATTTGAAGAATATACGCTACTCAGTAACAAGCTGAATTCACAGTTCTTTGAGTACATTAATAAGCAGGCTTCCAAGGAAAATGCACCTTTGGATAACATAAATCACTGTTCCATAACCATGGTTTATTTGATTACGGGGATTGTTCTACTACTGATGCCTCTCAAGTCTTTGCGCCAGAGAAACGTGCAGACAAAAGAATTTCTCGTGAATCCAACGGAGAAATACTAAGAAGAGAGGATGCAGCTGTATTTGATTCTTGTGAGGAGACCTTGAGGACTAGAGCAACTAGTTCGATACCAAATAATATTTCTTCAAAAGAAGCTCATAGAAGGGATAAGGTTCTTATCTTAACAGTCTTTTATGTTGAATGTGTTAGCTTTTATTCAATCACATGGTTTCTGATAGTTGCATCAAACTATTTCTGCAGGCGAGAACTAGTGGCTTTGTCGTATCCGAAGATGGAATCTCAAAACAGCAAAATGCCAATGGCTCTAACATGCATATTCATAGACAAAATGTAAGTACTGACATGCATGAGAGTCATAAACATCAAAGCCAACAAGGCAATATGCCCGAACCCAAAAGCAGTTATGAAATTTCTGGCCCACCATATTCTGTAAAAGATGGGAAAAGCGCACATGAAGCTGAAAATGCCTTTGCCTGGACTTCGGAGAATATAGTCTATAGGGAAAATGCTTTCAGTGGTAAATCAGTAGAATTAGACTGTTCTGGGGTGGCAGCAGCAAAAGAATGCATGAAAGTTAGAAGTTCATTGCAGTCAGTAGGACCCAAAATATCTAAGTCACCTAAATCAACAGTGAAAGTGTCTGGGGAACGATTGCACCATGAAATGGAGAGAAGAGGACAAATTCCTGATGAATTAAGTAGGTTTTCAATATTTCTTTCTTGATATTTTAGCCATGCTAGTTTTTTCTACCATTTTCTTCTGGAATGACAAGTAACATTCTGGCACCAGGAATCAATGGAGCTGCCAGCATTGGAGTTATGGAGATGATGGGTTTACGGAAGTCATCCAAGCTTGCGGGGCAGGATTTTCCTGTATCCTATGGTGATAGACATAAGAAGATAAAGGTCGGTTCCTTTACATTTATCTAGGATTGTTATATGTTCCATTCTTCTGTTGTTGAGTTAAATTATTTCACGGGGCTCTTGAATTGTGAATGAAGAACTTTTGACTATGATCTATTATCCTATTGTCTCAGATGCTGTTTCCTTATGAAGAATTTGTAAATTTCTTCCAGTGTGAAGTCTTTGACTTATTGCCAAGGGGCCTTCTAAATTGTGGAAACAGGTGTTACTTTTGTTACTTTTGTTACTTTTATTGTCCTACATCCACTATATCTGGAGTATGATTTTATTGGTAGGAAATTTCTCTAGTAGTATATGTTCCTACTTCCTACATCTGACCGGTAATAAAAAAGCTGTGTTAAACATCAAATCAGACCAATTTAAACATACTGCCTTTTGGATTTTCCAGGGGATGACTGGTTTGTATGCATGTAAAAGAAAGTTTTAGGAGCTCATGTTTTATGAACTCATTATAGTTTTCATTTTACAGCTGCTATGCTAATGCTGTTATGCAGTGTTTAACCTTCACGAAGCCTCTCAGCATCTATTTGCTACATGGATATCATTCAAGAACCTGTACTTGCTTTTATGTGGTTTACTTTTTTTTTTTGTACATACTAATATTGACATTGTTCAATCACATGCATAGCTCACTTTGTTTAGCATTCTATAGGTTACGGGAAAGATTGGTGTCTTATGTGTGAGCTTGAGCAACATGTTATGTTGTTAAGAGATGCTGGAGACCCCTTGTCACCTAGTAGGATCCTTTTACACATCCGAAGTATTAATGGGCAGATGGGTGATGGAAGTCAGGAAGATGCACATGAATTCTTGAGGTCTACAGAATTCACTTGTCGACATCCCCTGACTCCCTTCTTTTCCTTCATTTATGTGTCTAGATTTGTTAGTTTCGATTTAAATTTGATGCTTTTACTTGAAGTAAGAATGAGAATTTCATCACCTTGCTTATCTGAAAGTTCCAATTGTTGTCTGTTTTAGACTCTTGGTTGCTTCAATGCAATCTATATGCTTGGAGAGGCTAGGCGGGGAACAAAAGGTTGACCCCAGGCTGCAGGAGACAACATTTATACAACATACTTTTGGAGGGCGTCTTAGGTCAAAGGTGTTTATAACTATTTTACTTCGTTTTACTTTTATCTCCTGATATACTTTTGTGGTTCTCCATTTTACCTTGATTCATTAATTATGTTTATGTACTTTTTTTTGTTGCCTAAATTGAATATCCATGTAACCAGGTGAAGTGTCTAAGATGTTCTCATGAGTCGGAAAGATATGAAAACATTATGGACCTTACTTTGGAGATATATGGTTGGGTTGAGTCATTGGAAGATGCATTAACTCAGTTTACAACACCTGAAGATTTGGATGGAGAGAACATGTACAGATGTGGAAGGTACGAGACCTTTGTTTCATTGTGTTACCATATTATCATTTATTAGAACTATCAATTAATTTGATTAAACCTGTTTAATTTATTGGTTCGGCAAATATTTTTGTTAAAAGGTGTGCTAGTTATGCTCGAGCTAGGAAGCAATTGCGCATACACGAGGCTCCTAACGTCCTGACAATTGTCTTAAAGAGGTTTCAGGTATTACGCCGCTCTACATATCTCAGAACTTGCTGTTTTAGTCTTTAGGCAACTACATCCGAGTTTTCTGTTGGTTTGAGTCTATTGATTTTTTATTTGTTAACTACTTTATGTGATTACTTCTTGATGTGGCTGTTAATCAGGAGGGAAAATATGGGAAAATCAACAAGAATATCAATTTTCCTGACATGCTGGATATGGTTCCTTTCATGACTGGAACGAGTGACATCCCTCCGCTTTACATGCTTTATGCTGTCGTGGTGCATTTGGATACACTCAATGCATCTTTTTCCGGACACTATGTGTCATATGTAAAAGATTTGCGAGGCAGCTGGTTCAGGATAGATGACACCGAGGTAAATTTATCCCCCGCCCTTTTGGTTCACTGAATGGCTATCGGTTATATACTCACTGGTAGAATATCTCTTCGAAAAACAGCTGCTCATTGAAAATATTTTAGGAATGGAGTTGAAATACGGTTTTGGTGTATCCCCTTTCAGGTACATTCAGTCTCAACGAGCCAAGTGATGTCTGAGGATGCATACATCTTATTTTACACGAGGTAGACACCTGTGATTTCCTAGTGTACTTTAGAAATATCGTATTCCTTTCCCAATTTTATCCCTTCCATTTATTCATTTTATCCCCATTTTTTATGCTTCTTTGTTGTATGAATGCTACTTTTGGTTTTCACATCAATGTTCTCTTCTAGCTCTGAAAGTATGTAAAATTTTCAAGGTCATACCCTCGCCCTCAAAGAGCAGTTACTGTAAAGGTCAAGCAAGTTCCTGCTAGGCACATCGCTTCAAAAATGGAGAAGCCATCACGACCGACACAAAGCAAATCGAGCAGCCACTCTGTTGGCCACAAGCTTTACCCAGATTCCAGGCCTGAAACCGCTACAGGCTGTATCAATCGCAACTCCAATGGCATTCTCAGGCAGAATGCAAATGGTAACATTCACAGAGTGCTAGAGATGTATGCTGAGCCGACCAATTTGGAGTTCTCTGATGCTACGTCAAGCGATTGGTCCCTTTTCACTAGCTCAGACGAGGCTTCTTTTACGACAGATAGTGCTCGAGACTCTTTCAGTACTGTTGACTATGCCGATGCAAGCAATGGAGATCCATTCTCAATCTTCAATAACTTGTACACTCCAGAATCATCCTCTTGCAACACAGTTTCGTGCAGAATGTTTTCAACTAGTAGGCCGCAAACGGGGTATGCTTAGAGGAGAAGGGCCATGTTCTGGATTCCCACTCGGCCCAACCAATGAACCGAGATCAAGATAACTTCAAACAGGTCTGTGATTCTTTGACAGATTTTTCTTTAGATACTGACCATGGTATGTTTGTAAAATACGGGAGTAACCCGAAGAGTACTTTTGATAGAACTTATGCACATTGTGAATGGTAGTTCATGGAATATCCAACTGATTAAAATAGTGACTTACGCCAAGTTAGAGGTTTTGCCTCTATTTTTGTTTTTCAATGGCTTTGTTGATTGAGGCGTGTAGATCATATGAAAGAACCCCAAATGAAAGGATTATTTAATCTTTTCTGAGAATGTGTTTTTTTGAAGATTCTAATCTCAGTCTGCAGGCACTCGGGGGACACAGTCCAATTCCATACATGTAAATGTATATACGTACACTTATATTTCAAGGTTTTGATTTACTGCAACTTACAGATAAAGGTTTTCTCAAACCTCATAAGATTAAGATTTTGCAGATGCAATAACCCTTCATTTTTCATTTGTTACACTGGCTTAACTTTATTAGACATGACACAAGCTAAACGAAAACACGACACTTAAAAGACGGCACACAGTACTGCCCGATACAAAAAAAGTAACATGAATACTAGATCCGAGCTTAAAGTTTTGGAAAGTGATCATCATAACCAGGAGAAAGACTGAATTATCAAAAATCATTTATTTCTTAAACTGGCAAGAACTCATCTTCAAAATCAAACATCATCCAAATCTCGTTCACCCTGCCACTGAATTCAAAAGGAGAGTTGTACTGAGCAACCGAGTAAATCGTAACGCCATAATGTTTCCGAGACCTCTCGATTGCATCGGACCAAGCAGTGCCTTCAAGACTGGCTTGCAATGCCGCAGCCTCCTCTGCAATGTTATAGTCTGTAACAAATCCACCGAATTGCCTTATTGCTACATAAGTAGATTTCAATCTTTCGATAAGGAGGCCTTCAGCTGGTGGCGGATTCGCCTGGTTCACCTTCGGGACGTAAAAGCTCACGGTAAACGTCGACTCGCAGAAGGGTCCATCGCCTGGCAAAACTTCAGTTATCACTGGAGCTGTCATTTCTATCTGTTTCTCGTACTTGTTCTTCCCTTGAATGTATTCAAATAGCCTATAAGCAAAGTAGGAACCATAAACTTCCATCAATTTATAGTTTGCTAGCTTTAGAGAAACCTTAAATGTGTAAAACTTACTGAAGGAAGCCAGTCCTGGTGGCACCGACAAGAGAGATATCTTGAATGCGGGGAGTTGATATCCACACACTGGAATTGTACCTACGAATCTCATAGCCATTGCCTTGTTGAATAATATCAAAACTTGGGCACTCGATCCGATTACATGGTGGTGGAAATATCCCAACTTTGTTCTTGCTGGTTTCCGGTAAGAAACCAATGTTTGAGAGCAGACTCAAGAGAAGCGATAGCATGGGATGAAGGCAGCCATTAATGCAGTTTCTTTTCAAGTGAATTTGAGTTAAAAAAAAGTTATGATCTTTAAGGGGGAAATGGGATCTTTTTATTGTTGTCTTCGTTTAGAATTGTCCTGAAGAATCAGTGTTTCTTGGCCACACATTTACAAGGACTACTTTGGTGATAAGGACAAGGTGGAAGTATCGGGAAGACAGCTACCATTTACAGAAATTTAATGCTACACGTGGATAATTTAAAAGTTTGCAATTGAGAAAATAATCTCAGTGTTTAAAAATACTTTATAATATATGATTTTAATCAATTTTTTTTTGAATTTACCAAAATGACTAATAAAATCACAATGTGAAATAAAAATCGCAACGCGATCTCCAGAATCGCAAATCAGTTCCCAGAATCGCAACGCGATTATGAAGAATCGCAATGTGATAGTACAAATTCGCATTGCAATTTTCCAAAATCGCAACGCGAATATGAAAATCGCAACGCGAACATATAAATCGCAACGCGATTCTGACTATCGCAACGAGTATCCATAAAATCGCAACGACAATACGTTAAATCGCAACGCGTATCCGTAAATCGCAACGAGAATACGTAAATCGCAACGCGTATCTGTAAATCGCAACGAGAATACGTAAATCGCAATGCGTATCCGTAAATCGCAATGCTAATATGTAAATCGCAATGCGAATACGTAAATCGCAATGCGAATACGTAAATCGCAATGCGAATACGTAAATCGCAATGCGAATCTGTAAATCGCAATACGAATCTGTAAATCGCAACGAGATTCTGACTATCGCAATACTGAATTTCAAATTCACAACTCGATTTCTGAATTCGCAACAGGTTTTAATTTCGCAACACAAATGTTTTGGGTATATAACTACGCAGCAGCATCAACTCATAACTTAAATCCCTAAATCGCAACTCATTCCATCTCCATCTATCACTCTCTCCGAAGACATCCGTTCCTATATCCAACGACATCCTTCCCCATCCGGCAACATGTTTTAGTTTCGCAGCTCGTTTGTTTAGTAAATTAATTTACAATAATGAAATCATCTAATGTTGATCATGTTTGGATAGATTTGTGTTTTGGAGGGTCATGGGAGAATGTTCATGGTGTTTTACAATATATGCCTTTACCCATGAATCTTCAACTAAAACTGTCTTTAAAAAAGTTAACTTATGAAACTCTAATGTTTCGTGTTGCAAAGAAATTGAATTTAGAGCCCCTAAGTGGATTTAGGCTATCTTATCAGAGAAATGGTAAAGTTTATTTGTTAACCGACAATGAAGATGTTGAACGATTCATTACTTACATTAGTGTTTCAAGTGATGATGTTACATTGCATGTTGTTGAACCTAGAAGTAGTGAAGTTGGGTCAGTAGCGGGTAGTAATCAACTAAGTTTTTCAACCCCAGTTTATGGTGCTCAAAATTTAATGGTTCCACCACAATTTCATCACCAAGCAAATATTGTTTCACCACATTTCCAATACCAAACACAATCTCAAAACCCACAACCTTTCCCTAATCCAAATCCCAATCAACTTTCAGCACCAAATTCTGGTTTTAGTATTGACCAGTTAGACGATGATGAGCCAACAGAAAAAATTGTGAGTACTAGTCAGTATTCAAAATATGATCTTGGTCAATACCCGGACTTTGATCTTGGTCAATACTCGGATTTTGATGATTTTTCAGAAGAAGAAACAGACCCTGCGTGTAATGATTTTGATATTGGTCAATACCCGAATTTTGATGATGAAACAGCTGTTGCCGAGGAAGATGTTGTTGATGATAATGAGGAGGAAGTTACGACTGTAAACGAACATATTGAACATCCATTCTATAATTCATATAACACTGATGAAGAAGAAAAAGAAGAAGAAATTACAAAAGAAAAGTCTCCGAAGAAAATGTCACGGGAGTATAACTGGAATATGCTAGAATTACTTCAGATACCGGAAGAAGAGTTGGTAAAGATAGCAGTTGATTGTTACACAAAAATTATTCGTATCAAGAAAGATGATTGTTTTGATACAAAGGAAGACTTGAAGATAGCTTTGTATACGAAATGTGTGGAAGATGGCTATCAACTAAAAGTTAACAAATCAAGCAAAGATCGTTTCGAAACAAGGTGTATGATTGACAAAAACTGTATGTGGCGTATGATTGCAAAGAGGATAAAAGATTGCGAAATGTTTCAAGTTAGGACTTTTATTGATAAACATACATGTTCAAGAACCCAAGTTTTTCCTCACCATAGACAATCAAACAAAAAGGTGTTGGGTGGTTTTCTGGCTGAGTTAATGTTTTTGAATGGTAGGGTATATCGGGGACATGAAATTATGACTGACATGAATGCTCAGTTCAAGATTAGTATCTCATATTCTCAAGCTTGGAGAGCCAAATGTTATGCCTTGGAATTGTTAAGGGGGTCGCCAGAAGCATCGTTTGCCCAACTGCCGGCTTATTGTCACAATTTAAAGCTGAAAAATCATGGGTCGGTAACTCATATCAAAACAGATAGAGATGGATGCTTTGAGTTGCTGTTTATCACCATTGGTGCTGCGGTTAGTAAATCAATATAATTTTGTTGACTCATTTTTGTTAGTTACATGCATTTCATATTTAAATGATTATATTTCTTGTGTATATGATTTTGTAGATTCCTTCGTTTATTAATTGCATGCACCCAGTTATTATAGTTGACGGAGCACATTTAAAAGGTCGATACCTTGGAGTAAACTTATTAGCAGTAGCCATGGATGCTAACAATGGGATACTGCCAATAGCTTACGGGGTTGGCAAATCTGAAACCTCTGATTCATGGACATGGTTTATGGGGCATCTTAGGGATTGCATATGTCCTATTAGCAATCTGACAATCATATCCGATAGGGCAAACTCAATTGACAACGCTGTTAAAAGGTGTTTCCCAGATGTTTTTCATGGACTTTGTGGTGTTCATTTGTATAGAAATCTAAAATCAAGGTCTGCTGGTATAAAAAATCACAAATGGACATACTGGAAAGCTGTAAAAGCTTATCGGGAAGTGGATTTTAATAAGCATATAAACTGTTTAAGACGTGTTTTGCCTAAGTGTGCTCAAACACTAGAAGATGTCGGGTTTGAAAGATGGTCAAGAGTACATCAACTTGGAGCAAGATATGGTTTCATGACGTCTAATAGTGCAGAATCAATCAACGCTCTAAGTCGTCATTCCCGGAAATTACCCATTACTATGTTAATGGAGTTTTTTCGAGCCTCTATTCAACAGTGGTACTATAAGAAAAGAAACCATGCATGTATTATTTCTTTAAATTCGTAACTTATCATATATTTTACTAAGTATTATTTATTTAAATTTACAGGAACAATGGAACATCGTGTTAGACCATGGACAGAAAAAAAGATAACGAAACGTTTTGTGAAGTCAACGTCATGGAGAGTTGAACCATGTTCAAACACTTTGTTTGAAGTACTGGATAATAACTTAAATGGGCTTGTCGATCTAAATGCAAAGACGTGTAGTTGTATGAAATGGCAAACATCTGGTTATCTGTGTGGCCATGTTATAAAAGTTTCTCTTCATCTAAACCAAGATGATTCAAGCGCATACGCTATAGATTGCTACACTACAGAAGTATATCGACAGACTTATGGCGAGATTGTCTACCCTATTCCACATCCTTCTGAGTGGGACATACCAGATGACTTACAAACAGTTTTGCCACCAGCCATGGACAGAAGGCTACCTGGCCGACCAAAAGTCACGATCGTATACCGTCTAAGGGTGAAGAGAAGAAGAGATCGGCATGTAGTCGGTGCAAGGAAAGTGGACATACAAGGTTGACATGTGGATCACCAGTGCCATCACAATCATCTTTTCCTCTACCAAAATATGGATCCTCATCAAAATCCAAATTACAACCGGCTTCACCTTTTGGGACTGTTAACTTAGGTGATTTTTAAATGCAAACGTTGTATTATGTGTATATTATGTGTGAACTTTTAACATTTTCAGTTAGGCATGTATTAGTAACTTGAGTTTGAACATTGCTATGATAAGTTAAGTTGTTATCACTTATTAGACATTCATTTGACTATCACAATGCGGAATTGACTATCGCAACGCGGAAATGACTATCGCAACGAGAGAATCGCAAAGCGAATTCATTTTCGCAGTGCGATTCACTCGTTGCGATTTTCATTTCGCATTGCGATTTTCATTTCGCATTGCGATTTTCATTTCGCATTGCGATTTTCATCTTTTCCTCTACCAAAAAATGGATCCTCATCAAAATCCCAATCACAACCGGCTTCACCTTTTGGGACTGTTAACTTAGGTTATTTTTAAATGCAAACGTTGTATTATGTGTGAACTTTTAACATTTTCAGTTAGGCATGTATTAGTAACTTGAGTTTGAACATTGCTATGATAAGTTCAGTTGTTATCACTTATTAGACATTCATTTGACTATCGCAATGCGGAATTGACTATCGCAACGCGGAAATGACTTTCGCAAAGAGAGAATCGCAATGCGAAATGAAAATCGCAATGCGAAATGCAAATCGCAACGAGTGAATCGCAATGCGAAAATGAAAATCGCAACATGAAATTAGTTTCGCGTTGCGATTTTCATTTTCGCATTGTGATTCACTCGTTGCGATTTTCATTTCGCATTGTGATTTTCATTTCCGCGTTGCGATAGTCTGTTTTGCATTCAACATAATGCAGATTGAAATCAAGAAATCAACTATTACATTTCAATCGATTAAACAAGCACAAATATTATGTACATATCATTAAACAAATCACATTTACAAATCATCTTTTACAAATCAATTAAACATCAAAAAATAATAATGAAATCAACTTTGCACCCATACATCCATTTCACGCAGCTCACTTCAGGATTAACCTGCAGAAACCAAACATTGAATCAACAACACTTTCTAAACATCTAAAACCTACAAACAACAAATTATTGAATTCTAGCTACTTAACCAAACATTTTCAAACCAAAAAGAGTAAATATGT